TTATAACTAAAATCACAGACTAATGGATTATCCTTGCGAGAACCAATTTGGCATTGATGTCCATAATAATTTTCTTGTGGATCTTGGCAAAATCTTTCTGTTAATACATAAGACACATCATTAGAAAGTAAAAATTTTATAAACTCAACAGCAGAATTAAAAATAATTTTAATTGCTTCGTAGGTTTGCCACGATATAAACATTTTACTTTTATTTATTTTTATTTTTTTTTAAACATTTGATTTATAAATTTTAACTGATAAAAATAAAAGTAAAAGTAAAAAATAAAAAAATAATATATTTTTTTAAATTAGAATTGTAGTAATTAGAAGTTTAAACCTAATAACTTTTTAATTTTAAAGCATCTCAATTAATAGTTAAAATATTTGGAACATCACAACAGCAGTGTTGCACTTAATGTTATAAATTTGAAGCGTGACTGACAGTTAGGTATTAGATGCATGTTAAATTTCTTATATTCTTTCCTTTAAAGGAAAGAATTATTTATTTTTAAATTAATGGCACTTGTCATACTTAATGACAACTTAGATGAGATTTTATTTGATGCCACATTCCTATAAAAGATTTTCCTGTTCTTCAAAGGACAATTCTCCCTTTCATAAGATTCTCCTCTAATTGGCCAAAAGTCAAACCACACCTTAAATAGAAAATCAATATTTTGGTCCATAAAATGTTGGCATTAAGTAATAAAAAAGTTATTGGTATTAAGTAATTGTAATTTAATTGTAGCAATAAAGTTGTAGGTATTAAGTAGTAGAATTGATTGTAGCAATAAAATTGTTGTAGTCATTAATTGTAGCAATAAAATTGTTGGTAGAACATTCTTGTAATCTTTATTTTAAAAATAGTGACCAAATTTCACAGTAATTAGTGAGATTTTGATTTATAAGTAGCAAAAAACTAATAAAATGTATATTAAAACCATCATAAATACTTATCCAGTTAACCAATCCGGCTGAAATTTTATCCAGAGTTTGGTGACACCATACAACACTACATTTGCACTAATTTTTATCAAATTATATAAAGTGATTCTCATTTTACAGGTGTTTTTATCGTCGCTCCATAAAGCCAAAAATTCACTTAACTAGAATATTCAAATTAAATTATTTTCCGCTGACCAAGTTAAAATATTTTAAAATTTGCATCACAGCGTGTCTTGATGTGTATGTTATTTATTTTTTATTTTTTTATAAGTATTGAATTCACACTACCATTTAAAAAGTTTCAATACAATTCACAATACTGACTCGCAGAAACCCAACCTTGAAATCCAAAGTTGAAACATTTTATCACTTGTTTTTTTTTGTGTAATGTAAGTTTAAGGGTATTTTCGGTCCTAAAACTCAAAACTTTTCCGCTTATTTTATTCTTCAGATTAAAAGCTTTTACACAATATATATATATATATATATATATATATATATATATATATATATATATATATATATATATATATATATATATATATATATATATATATATATATATATATATATATATATATATATATATATATATATATATATATATATATATATATATATATATATATATATATATATATATATATATATATATATATATATATATATATATATATATATATATATATATATATATATATATATATATATATATATATATATATATATATATATATATATATATATATATATATATATATATATATATATATATATATATATATATATATATATATATATATATATATATATATATATATATATATATATATATATATATATATATATATATATATATATATATATATATATATATATATATATATATATATATATATATATATATATATATATATATATATATATATATATATATATATATATATATATATATATATATTGAGACACTTATAAATAGCATACTTTGTATATTATTTGTAAGAAGTTATTATCGGTAATATAAATACAGGATAAAAATAATTGTTACAATAACCAAAACATTAAAGAAATTTAAAAAGTACATTACTGATTTAATAAAATTTCAAAAAGGTCATTTAAAATGTCATAATTAAAAAAAAATATATTTAAAAACATGAAAAAGTAAAATATTAAATTCATATAAATATGAAGTTATTTGTATATCTGGTTTGAAAAAAAGTTATTTTGTTAAATGAAAATACTATCATTAAATAGTACAATTTTTAGAAATTTAAAATCAAATGACACTTATGTCAGATCATGTTGTTATGAAAACAAAACTTTTTTTTAGTTATATAATAATTAAAAGCTATATCATATTTAAATTTCACTTATCCATTTCAACTTAAATTTCACTTTTCCATTTCAAAGTAGTACTAAATTTACAATGGTTGAAGTTAAGTTAATGTTTTATATTTAGATTAAAAAGTAAAATTCAGATAACTAAGTAATAAAATTTTATTTAAACAAAAATTTTCTATAATATTTAACATTGCAATGGTTATGAAACAATTACTTTTATTTTTTAAGTGTTTTATTATATAACTTAGTGTTTGATCCGATCTTACAAGTGCTTTATTATGTAATTACTTGGTGTTTTATTCCATCTTACAAGTGCTTTATTATATAACTGATTGGTGTTAGATTAAATCTTACAAGTGATTCATTATACAACTACTTGGTGTTGTATTCACTTTTAGAGGTAGTTGATACAACTCATTCACAGGTAAATTTTTATGTAGGATAAATTACAAATCTTCTTTAATTAAATATTTTTAAATATAATATATTTATAATATATAGCTAATGATTTTACACAAAAAATTGACTTTCTTAACAAATAAAAATATGAAATTATTGAAATTGACAATGATATGATATTGCAATAACTATTTTACAAATATGATGATGATTTGATGGTAAAGTTCTTTCTTTGACCTTAAGTAATATTTTCTGCTTTTTTGATTTTATTAGTGATCTTACTTACAATGATGTTGGAATTATATGATTGAAAACACCTCTGAAGAAATATTATTTGATTTTTTTATATTGTATTTCCTGTAAATTCATGTCTTTTTTGATGTGGTGGCGTTGTATCCCTCTAATCCAATTGACAGAGCAATTCCTGTAATTATGGATATTTTAAACAACGACATTGATAATCTTAAAAAAGAACCAAGTTTAACACTTAGTGATATAAATGAAATGATCTAACTCTGCCTTAACCAATGTTATTTTTTATACAAAAACAAAATTGGCACCCATAGGATTATACAATACCAAAATTGGCACCCATAGGATTGTCCTTAATGGTTGTAGAGGTGTTTTTGTAGCATTTAGAAACAAAAGCGTATATTATTGCTGAGATCAATTTTCACTGAAGACTTACAGAAGGTACATAGATGACAGTCATGCTAGATTTGACTCAATACAAAATCAGAAAATTAAAGAAAATTATAAAAAATAATTAAACTTCTTGGATATAACTGAATCAATGTATACAAAAACGTTTTAAGTCATTTTTTTTTAATATTTGACTTTTTGATGAAAACTTGTTCTTTCAAGACAGTTCCACCATTGTGTAGTAAAACATTCCATAAAATTTAGACCTTTAAAGTCAGACCTTTCTGTACACGTTGAATAGAGAGCTGAAAGATTTTTTTTTGAATTTATTAAAGTAATAATTTTGATTTAATACGTTTTTTCTTGTTTCCTGAAAGAATAGTTTTTGTGACTGTAACCAACACTAATAACTTATACTATGACTTCAAAACCCACAGAAAGTCAGCTATAACTAATATACAACCAAAGTAAAACCAATATCAAACGTACGTAAATTTTATTCCAAAAATAGTTATGGGTATTTTTAAAAGTTTTCTATCTCTTGCAATTAAAATCTGCTAAATCTACTAAATTCAGAAAAGCAGCAACTTTTATAATGAAAGTTATAATAAAACAGAAACAATTAAATATGCAGTAAAGCTTCCATGGTTCCCAAGAATAGGTCAAAAACTTATAAAAGAACTTAAACCTTACAACATCAGAATAATTTTTATTACACTACCTATGTTAAAAAACATTTACGCAACACCAAGTCAAAATTAATTTTCAAAAGCAATCCCGGTGTCTACAAACTTACATACTTTTTTGGTGGCATGAATATTGGTGAAACAAAAAAGAAAATTTTAACTGTAGAGATAAAAAAATGTTGTGGACAGAGGTGAAACTATAAATGATAACAATTTATGTTTTTAGAGTGTAAAAACAAATTATAACCCACAAGAAGATTTTCTTGGCTAAGGTTATAATATTTTCATACTTTCATTCAGTTCGTAGTCTTTTTTGACTATCTTGTTGACTCATTAAATACCATGAAGAAATTTAATTCAATAACTAAACATTTTTTCATAAAATCTGGCTGATATTATTACATATAATTAACTAAACCTACCTACACTGGTGGCCAAAAGTATGTATCAATCAACAATTTTTTTTTTTAATATTCAAAACTAATTTTTTTAATTTTTGAAGGTTTTTTATTATTTTTTTTGGTTTTTAAGGATAACAATAATATAATTAAAAATATATGCGAAATAATATAAGTTAGATTTAGTTTATTTTGATGCTGCAATGGTTAGAACCAACAAACGCGGTGCAATATATGCAATTTATAAAGTAGGTTTTAGTCGAAGACAAATTTCTGAAAAAGTTGGTGTATGTAAGCAAACTGGTCAAATAAATATTAAAAAAGGAAAAGATGGCTGTTTAGTGACTTACAAAAGATACTATTTAAACTATTGAAACTATTGAAAATATTGTTGCAACTTAAATTACACACATTTATGTCAATGTTTACATAAAATAAAAGTTTTATGATGTTTAAAAATTCGTTTTTTTTTTGGGATGGATTCACACTTTTGGCCACCAGTGTAGTCTGCTATAATTAACTAAAGATATAATATAACTACCTGATATAATATAACTACCTAGTCTGATATAATTAACTAAACCTACCTAGTCAGCATTAATAAAGCATTTTCTTTAGTATGGGGTTTCTCAAGAATTTCACCATTGCTCACCTACAAAGAGTGTGATTACATATTTTTATTTGAAAATAAACAATATTCACAACTTTTTCATTTTTAAATTGAATAAATGACATATATAAATTTTATTAAGTATTTTAAATTGAATATATAATGTATATTCAATTTAAAGACCATATAATATATTTTTTATTTAAATTTATTCAATATTAACAATAAAGTAATGCATGATAATATGATTTCAATAATGCAAAAAAGATACGAAAAATTTTATGATATCAAAAAAAACCTTAAATAAAGAAATAAGAGAACTTTATGATGTAATTATCATTTCATTAACTGTATCAATTTTAACTTTCATATTTTTTAATATTACTTGAACATTCATATCTTGCTCAAGTCAGCAATTGTATTAATGAAAATATAGACTTATCACCTCACCAAACCAAAGTGAGATTGATGAGACCACTTTTTTCTTTTTAATATTGATGGCACTTACATGGCAATTTGTAACCAATCAAAAATGGTAAAAATTGTTAAGAATTCATCATCTTCATTATTGATAAACGCCGTATCATCCCCATCTGAAAGGTACAAATTTGATACTATTTCTTCAGGTATATTTGTCTTTGTAGAATTGCATTCTGCTGGTAGAGCAAAGACATACCTTGCCAAAGTATAAGAAATTTTAGATAATATGGCACATATTAATTTCCTGAAAGAACAAAACGAACTCATTTTTATATACCCATCTGTAGACAATCTCTCTTGTCATGACTTGTGTGAGTTAAAACCGTTAGTACCACTACCACACTTTGATAACCGTGGACATATTATTACCGAGCCGAAGTGTTACAACTAAACTTATTGTTAAAAACTTGATATTTTATCTTTCTTATCTTTAATGTATTATTAACAATATAATACATTATTTATCTTTAATATATTACACTTGAGTATTTTTTTTTTAATCCAATGTGTATTAAATAAATTAGTATTGATATATATGCTATTTGATAGTCGCAATCAATTTATTTCCAAAAATACAATCCAAAAATGACTAATGTTTGCAGGTTTCGTTCGATACTTTTTTTTTGTCCATGATTTTGGCTTAAACTACTATTACAGAGCAAAGATACATCGTAGAATGCTGTAACTTTGTAAAAATCTTTATAAATGCTTGTATAATTACCTATAAAAAACAAAACACTCCTCACTAATAAATTTTCAGACAAAATAGGATTTATTTATTAATTTTTTATTTTTTGCTTTTTTCTGTTCCGTTTCTGTTTCTGTCATTTCATTTAATAAAAAATATTTACGTCAATTATGATATAAAATCTTAATATAAAACCATATTATCACTATTATTTTTGTTATTATTAAAGGTTATAATTTAAACTTTATTATTTTAATTTATTTTATAAAACATCAGATATAACTAGAAAAATAAAGCACGATAAAGTACAATTTAAATACTAACACACGAGCGCTAATCACAACAATCTAAAGGACTTAAACAGTGATCGAATATTTTAAATAAAAGAAATTGTTAAATAAGATATAAAATACATTTATATCTTATTTAAATTTAATTCAATACTTTTTAATAAATTTATCACTTGAAACACTTTAGCTGATACGGATATAAAATTAAAAGACGGAGGAGTTATTATATAAAAACTAAATTACACTTACTTATTTTAAATTAAATTACTTTAAAAATTAAATTACTTTAAAACAAAAAAAAGAAACTCTAATAACATATTTAAAAAAAATATACTTTATGATTTTTTTTCTTATTAAATAATTAAATTCTAATTTAAAAAATTTGAACTTTTAAATTAATAATTCAAAACAAAATACTAGTAAAGATTATAGTCTACAAGTGACAAGTGTTTTTAGCAGAAATTTAACAAAAATTGTTAAAAACAGATTTTTTAGATATCTTATATATTTTCTTTTTACAAGTTTTTTACTTTTATTGTAGAATAAAGACTGTGGAGCAATGGCAAAGTGTAAACCTAACACAACTCGAAATACCGACATGATCTGGTTGATTGGCCATCCATGTGACATAATAACTGGAGCTCGTCTTCCTTTAAGTCGTGATGTTATGCAGAATTTTGTTTACTGCCAGAGGAAACAGAAACTGACAGTTGCTTAGAGTGCACAGCAAGTACACAACCAACATTTTTTTTTTAATTGCTGAGCAGTTTCAACTCAGTCATCCACGAGATGACTATCGAGAATTTCTCCAACTTGCTGCTTATATGATTGGTTTAAAATGTGCTGGGGCAGCACCAGTTCGCAAGCCTGGTGTCGTTCACAGAGAACGTTGAATGGCTAAGGTGATTTATGCAATGAAGATAGAATTGCTTTTTGATGGTAATGAAGCTGTTATACAGTTGACTGCTTGTGAATTACAGGGCATTCAGAGATTTAATAGATTTGTTGTCAATGTCTACATTCAATCTTGGTTTTCAAGTTGAGCCATTGCTGATGCACCATTGTATGACATTCTATTGATTCAAAGGCTGCTTACCTATGAAGATGCTGCTTTGCAGACAAAAGGTTTGAAGATGATTAAGCGTCACTCCTGGTACCTCAGCCAAGAGCTAGCAACAGTTTCCTTGTTCTCTCAGCATATGTCTTCTAAAGAAAAAACCTAGCTTGTGTCGACAACGAAAAGTGATCAAGGATCACATTTGCTCAAGTCTCTTCCAAAAACAACAGCGGAATTACTCATTTCAAGACAAGACTTTTCCAAATTCAATCGAGACAATCTTGTGGACATTTAGATTTTAGAAGTTATTTATCATATTTTAAAATGAAAAATTGAAACTTTGTTGCTATTTTGTATAATAAATAATTGTCATTAATTGTGTTCAAACGAGCATAAAAAAGTTATGTTTTCTATTGCTAAGTGTTATTTTCTATAATATATTGCTAAGTGTTACTTATTATTATATTCAAAGTTAAAATTGTCTTTGCTTGAGCATTTAAAGGTGTGCTATAAACCAATTTTATTCTGAACTCTACCAGAAACTATATACTTTTTACTAAATTTTTACTACATTTTTACTAAATTTTTATGATCGATTAGACATGTGTTCTGTATTCTGTACTCGATTATGTCAAGCCATCAAATGCCATTAACGAAAATTCCGCGACATCGCTAAAACTTTATGACCCTTAAGGTCTAATTATTTTTCAAATGTAATATAAAAAATTATTGGTGGTTAAGAGACTGCAAAGAAACTTTTAAGAGGGACTGCATCAAAAAATTCAAAAAAAAAATTTTTGGGACACCCTAATATATATATATATATAAAATATATATATATATATATATATATATATATATATATATATATATATATATATATATATATATATATATATATATATATATATATATATATATATATATATATATATCTATATATATATATATATATATATATATATATATATATATATATATATATATATATATATATATATATATATATATATATATATATATATATATATATATATATATATATATATATATATATATATATATAAATATATATATATATATATATATATATATATATATATATATATATAAATATATACATATATATATATGCATATATACATAAACACACAAAATTAAGATAATCAAATGTCATTGTTATCTTAGAAAATAACGCAGTTGGGAAAAGTAAACAAGAGATGGATTTTTTTGGAGCTGTTGGATCAGAAAATCGTAAATTTAAGCATATTTGCAGACTAAAATCAAGTAAACTAAAGGCAACATCAAATAAATTTAACTCTAACTTTGAATATCTCTCTTAAATAAAATAGAGAGAGAATTAGTCCTAAACACCTGCAGACATCATACCATTAAGCAAAATGAGAAAGTTTTTGTTCACAAAGATAGAACTTTTGCTGAACAGGCTGATTTTAATGCCATTTGGCATATTGTGGCAATATTTTTGAAAAATTAATGTTTATATTAATTGTTTATTACATAATAATATTCTTTATTACATAATCAACTTGTGCATTGTGTTGACAAGTCAAATAACTCTTATAACTTGTTGTATAAGTTATAATCTAAATTTGAAAATGATAATCAAATAAATGTATTAATTGGGAAGAGTGGAATGTATTGGAAAAATATTATAAAATTTATAGTCATGATATTAAATATTAGGTAAATTACACTAAAAGTCTTTTATTTCAGTTTTACCTAATACGCTACTAATAAGTTATATATGAAAACATTTAAAACTAATTTTTTATTTCTTACATGTGTATGTTTAGTGGTGTGTTTGGGCATAAAGACACCTCATGCGTCATACATAAAACCAGACACACCATGGAAGTAGAAGTATTTAATGATACTTTTTTTCTAAGTTCTGGGGGAAAATGTGAATGTTATAACGTAAATGGACGGGGGAGGGGGAGGAGGCAGGAAAGAGCTAGGGCTGTTTAAAAGCTGAGTTTTTCAGGCTTAAATAAAGACTTATTTCTATAACTGATTAAAAAATACTTTTTAATTCATACATAATTTGTATTACAATATATAATACAAACTAAAGTACAACAATAACTTTATTTTTATTGTTTTTAAAGCATTTTGGGTAATTTTTATTGTTCTCATTTTTTAACTTCCCCATGATTACCCACTATTTTTTTTCTAAAATCACTGCAATAAATTAAAAGAAAAAAAAAATTTATAAAAACCAGTTTTGATCCTAGGTTACTGGTGGTTTAAAGTGGAGGTACATTTTCCTAAGTTTTAGGCCCAACCATTTTTAGAGGTCTATAATTTTTTTACTGAATTGCATCTTATCAGTAAATTTCTAAAAATTTAAATGCCTACCATATATAGAAACTAAAAAAGATTTCTTTTCACTTCTTATACTGCAGGTTTTGTATATTAATTATTTGCATAACTCATCAAAAATAAACTTTTTAAACTTGCAAACAAATTTTTCGGTTTTTTAGGTAGCCATTATGGAAAAATGTGACATTCAAGAACTCATTGTCGAAGTTTTATTAAAGTAAGTCTAGATTTGAATACAATAAAAAAAACTAGAAGGTTTACTGAAATTTTGTTTTTAAAATATAGAGCTTTAAAGTATGAACAAAATATTTTTTTGCTACTGAAACTTTTATTTTTGGAAATATGAGAAATTTCAAATGACCATATCTCATGAACCACAAAAAATTATATGCTGAAATTTTTATGAATTGCTTTTCTCATTCGTATTAACAAACCCACTAAGTTTCATCAAAATCTGAGAGGCTCCATGTTGATGGAATGACCCCAAGTCAAACAAATAGTCAAACAAAATAAAAAACTTAAAGATGCAGGGCTGCCAGATCAGCCATTTTGAAACATCATCTGTCGCCGCACCTATAAAATTGTCTTCATTGAGATTATTGAATCAACCAAAAGTTAACAGTATGTTTTTAAATCAGCAACAACCGCACTTAATAGCAACACACCAATACAATACAATACAATAAACAACCGAAAAGTAATAATAAACAAATCCGCCTGTCAATTAATAGCAACCGAAGTCACACCAATACAATACAATACAATAAACAACCGAAGTTAAAAAACAAATCAGCAGGTCATTAATAGCAATTGAAGTCACACCAATAGTATATAATAAACTTGACATACACCAGAAAAGTAATAATAAACAAACAAAAAGTAATAATAAACAGCCTGTCAAGATTAAAATCATAGTCAAAACCTAACTTCTCGCAGTTATCTTCACAATCATTAACTTTGCGTTTGTCAATATCAGGACAACTATGTTTCTGGGCATAAAAAACCTCATATAATGTTTTTTGCAGAGATATGGTATAATAATACATCTGAGACAGTTGTAAAAGGATATAAACTGCATCGAACAGACAGAAATAGCATAGGAGGAGGCGTAGCTATATACACTAGAAGTGATATAATTACAACAGAAATAGGTAAGAAATAAACACTTTAACTCTAAATCTATTGAGCAATTATGGTGTATAATCAGATTTGATGGTAAATCATTGTTACTAGATTTTATATTTTTACTAGATTTTATATTTTTACTAGATTTTATATTTTTTTTTTTTTTAACATCTTCGCTTCCAACAAGGCTGCAAGCAACCACTAATTAGTGTTGGAAGTTACTGGAAGAAAAAAGATAAAGATTGTAGAGCAAGATAACGATTGACTGACGACTTAAAAGATTGCAAATTATATGAATCAGGAAAGCAAGATGAAGGAAGCGAATTCCAAATAACTGATGTTCAAGGAAAAAAACTAGATGAATAAGAGTTTTTGGAGCACATAGGAACAGTAACAGAAAAAGGACGAGACTTAATTAAATGACGAGTAACACAAGAATGAATTTTTGTAGATGGCACAAGAGAAGCTAGCTCTTTAGAGCAGTGCCCATTATAGTATTTGTAGAAGAGAGAAAGAGAAGCAACATTAAGACAGACAGAGGTTGAAGGTTGGCTGCAAGAGTAGGTCCAACTATGTTTATAATGTGTTTTTGCACCTTGTCTAAAAGAGAGGCATCATTAGAAGATCCACCCCAGATATGGCAACAGTATTCCATACAAGGCCGGATTTGAGATTTATAGAGATAGAGAATAGAATCCAGAGTAAGAAAGTGACGAGCTCGATAAAGAGAAGCGACTTTAGCAGATGCTAATTTTGCAACGAATTTGAAATAAGGTTTCCAAGAAAGATCAGAAGTAAGAGTTAATCCTAGAAGATGAAGGATAGGAGACTCGTTGAGTACATTACCATTCATAAATATAGGAAGGTCTAAATTATTGCAATAACGATTGGCTGAAAAAAATTGAGTTTTATCTGAATTAAAGTTCACCAGCCACTGTGAGCCCCATGCTGAAGCAGAAGTGAAATCCTTTTCAAGCTCAGATGCCCCCTGCAAGCAATTAGAGGGAGTTGGCTTCTTATCGTGACAAGAATAAATGGTAGTATCATCAGTGAACAATGCCACCTTAGATGTGAGAAAATCTGGAAGATCGTTAATGTAAATTAAAAAGAGTATAGGGCCAAGGATTAAACCTTGAGGAACCCCTGAGGTTACAGGATAAGAATAAGAGTGCTGTCCATCAAGGACAACTTTTATACTACGATTAGAAAGGAAGGATTTGATAATCTTAAAGATGTTTCCAGATACACCGTAAGAAGAAAGCTTATGGAGAAGACCAGCATGACATACTTTATCAAACGCCTTAGAAATGTCAAGAGCTTTTTTATTAATTGAGTCCTATTTATGACTTTGAGTCACTAATAGGACCCAAATATGGATCTGTAGAAATGGAATTTTTTCTGTTTAATAATTACTTTATTAATTATTGGATTGACCTTGAACAATCCAATTATGGAATTTTTTGATAAGCTAATAACTTTTAATATACTTTGAAACGTGGCATGGTGTTTCGTCTTGCATGTATAATATTCTCTTCTAATTTGGAAAGCTTTCCTCTAATTAAAATAATAGACAAAGTTTAATCACTTTTTTGTTTTGGTCCTGTTTAAATATTTCATTTACAATGTACAGGCGACCAATGCCATTCCCACAGATAGCTGACAAAAATATGACTTTAGGAGGATGTTTAATTATCTAAATTATGCAATTTTTATGGAACTTTTCATTGCAAGCCTTTTGAGTCATAATTTGTATTGTAGACTCATCGCTGAAACTTACTTTGAGAAAACAGAATAAAAAATCAAAAAATAGTAGGTCTAAAATATTAAGTAAAAAGTTTTCATAATTGTCATATAATTGTCATGATAATAATGAGGCTATTTTTCAATTTTCACAGTGTCTTAATATATCACATTTTCTTAATATTTCAAAACTTGAGTAATACTTATTGGTTAAAAAAAATTGAATAAATTTTTTTTCAAAAATAATGTCTTCTTTTTCAATTTTTTTAATTTGGAACAATTAATTTTAAACAACTTTTTTTATTATAAACTAATTTAAAAATGATAAAAATTGGTTTCTATAGAAAATATATAAAATTTTAAAATAATTATTTTTTAAATGTTCCAAAGTACATTATATAAAAAAAAAAAAATGTAACTGAATCACAATGGTAACAAAAAACATTGTTACACTCAAAAAAAACATATCAAGACAGTATAAAAGACATAACAGTATGAAGGACAAAACATGATTCATAAGAAATCAAACAGGTGCCATAATAGGCACCTAGGCACCTTAAAATTAATATTAAGTTTCTCCTTAAATTAATATGGCAACTAAAACATTAAACTTTCAAAACTATAAAATTTCTACTGTATTTAATCCAGCAATACACAGCTTTTAGTCATGCACAATTTAAAAACAGGTTTTTTCTTAACTAGAATACTATACATTCTTTAACAAAAAAGTAAAAAATCAACTTTGTTTTATGTAACTAAACACCGATTTCAGATTTTAATAAATATTTTACACATTTTCATATTAGTAAAAAAAAATAATACAATGAAACATACAACAATTGTGTCTGCTGCAATCACAATTCTTTTGTTTTGATTCTAAAAATTAATAAACAAATAAGATAGATAGATTAATAAACAAATGAGATAGTATAGTAGATAAAATATATACAAATTATATCGATTATATATTTATAACATATATATATATATATATATATATATATATACATATATATTTCTCAGCGTGGAAAATAAGAAATCGAAGGTGAGTAGTTTCAACCCATGGAATTAACGGTCAACCCATAGAATTAACAGTCAACTGCTTATTTTTGGACAGTCAAAATTTTTATTTTTTCTTAATTCAAGTTTTTATCTTAATAGTACTATATGACTTAACATTATTAATACAATAACTTAATACTTCAAAGATAAGTAATACTAATTCTTTTTAAAATATAGTTTTAAATGAAAAAATAGTAATTAATGTTAATAGTTTAAAACAACACTCGGGTGTACACATTTTAAAACAATTAAAAAAGAAATTAATGTTGAATTTTTTTTAAATGTCAAAACAAATTTTAAATGTCAAAACAAAAATAAACTAAATACTAAAAGAAATCGTTTTATTAAATGCAATTATATATTAAATAGCAATTACTTATGTCACATTACATTTACATTATGTTGAATAAAAAAATACGGGTCTTTAAAAGTAGAGTAAAATGGGGTAATTTTGCTAATTTAGAAATTTTGCCACTGATTGATATATATCTACTTTTATAACTATAACTTTACTCAGGAATAAAATTTTTGTATAATTCAAATTTCTATTAGAAGAAAAACAAACTTCTTATCAAATAATGTCAAAAAAAATCTTGATAAGAAAATTAATTAACAAAAGTAATCTTCTCATAAAAATCAAATTATTTATTTCCATTCAAAATTTAAAAGACTAAATTAGTGGAAATTTTTCAGAATCTTTGTATTACTATTTTTTATTTTTCTAATTTTGATCAGTTCCCAAGTTTTTAGGGAAATACTAAATGGGGGAATTTTGCCACCTATTTATATTAATTAGAAATGTGCTTTTATTGAATAGTCAATATTATTTCCCTTCCTCTTGCTTTGGTAACTAATTGCTCAAGTCTCGTTGGTCTTATAATCGATTCAAATTAATTAAATAGATCAATTATCAGCAACAATGCTAAATGATATATACATATATATATATATATATATATATATATATATATATATACATATTTATATATATATATATATACATATTTATATATATATATATATATATATATATATATATATATATATATATATATATATATATATATATATATATATATATATATTTATACATATATATATATATATATATATATATATATATATATATATATATATACATATATATATATATATATATATATATATATATATATATATATATATATATATATATATATATATATATATATATATATATATATATATATATATCAGGCCTTGTTAAGAGGCGTTACATTATTTGAATTATATGCACATATTCACGATTTCACTTGTTTTGCAATTTAGGTTAAGCTAAAACTTTTTTCAATTAGTTTTAACAGTCTTTTAGAGTGGAAAACATTAAGCTGTAATTAATTGTTGTAAAAAATATTTGTGGAATATTTTTTTTATGAGATATAAAAACAGTTAGATAAATAAACTTTTTTCTATTTTTTGTTTTTTTTTTTTTAATATTTTTAGTTTATTTTATGAAATTTAAATAACTTTATTATTAAATATAATTAAATATAAATTTATTTTATTAGATTAATTAAAATTCTTTAAAAAATTTTAAAACACTTTACATTATTTATTATGTTTATTACTTTATCATTACTTTAGTTTACTATTATTAGAACTATAGTTAACAAAAATTACTTTAGTTGTACAATTTTTGTTTTACTGCTAAAATTTACAAACTGTGTTTAACACGTTCACGCCGGCGTGTACCACCGGTGGTACACACTAGACTGTCTCATTGGGCAGCGTGTACCATTGGTGGTACACACTAGACTGTCTCATTGGGCGGCGTGTACCACCGGTGGTACACGCCAACGTGAACGTGTTAAGTAAAAAAAAAATATTCAAATTAATTCAAATTACTGAAATTAATTCAAATTAATGGTTTACATTACATACAACTTTTTTACATTGCAGTTTTGAAATTGCTTTTTAACAAAAGTTTTTTCTTCATCATTAATTTTTTGAATTGATCACAGACTGAGTGTCAATTTAAAACAATTAACTAGTTTATGAGTAGCATGTGAAGATTTTGTTAAAGCCAAATGGTTAAAAAAAGGTTGATATTTTTTATTTATTTTTCGTCAGTTAAAGTGATTAACTTTATAAATTTTATTTGTTTGTTTTTTTTACTTTAAGGTATGTTCCGCACTAAATTTAAAAAAATACTGGTCTAATTAATGCGCTTTTCAAGTTAATAAATGACATCAATATAAAAAAAAATTTTCAATTTGGAGTTATAAATGTTAGGTTTGGGTTTTCCCTTTAGCGGTTAAATTTTATGTAGAAGAATTTCATTATTTTATATATATATATATATATATATATATATATATATATATATATATATATATATATATATATTTATATATATATATATATATATATATATATATATATATATATATATATATATATATATATATATATATATATATATATATATATATATATATATATATATATATATATATATATATTAGGGTGTCCCAAAAACACACTTTTTTTAAAATTTCAATGTGCTCTCAACTGATCCCCATTCTATAGGTCCTAAATAGCTACCAAAATCTTTTTTTTAACTTTTTAATGACTAGAAGTGATAGATGTAAATTCTGAGTTTTACGGTTTTGTACACATATGTGTATTTACTAAAAAACAGCGCTATCTAGTATTTCAATGTTTTAATATGATGTAATAATTAGTACACAAATAATTCCCATAGGATATTATCAAAGAATAGGATAATTTCCTATGAACATTGTTAGCGATTGATATTTTTCGCTCTGGACAATATTATTAGTTGGTATAATTCCCCATGGATTGGTTCACAAATAACTCCATTTAGAATTTTTTTTTGAAGGAAAAAAATTTCTTAATAGAATTATTTGTGCACGACGGAATTCTAATTTGTGCACGAAGAAATTCTTGTGTAAACGGTTATAAAAGCCATAACGGTAAACTTAGATAAAATATTATACGAGAGGGAATAACGACTTCATTGATTTTTGATGCAAGTGTAACATTTAGTAAAAATTTAGTTAAAAAACTGATTATTTCGAAATTCATATAAAGATGGGTAGAACAGCCAAAAAAAAGAAGATGATAGGACAGAATAAGAAAAAACGGAAAAATACAGAAAGGTTGAGGTATATTTACCTATTGAAGTACCCACTAAGGGAGTTACCTCAGAGACAGCTTCCATCTAATGGTGATGTTCTTAGATACTATCAATTTATCCTTCGCGAGTCACAAGTTAAATACAAACCCACTTCTACTAATGTTGGTTGCAAATTGAAATCGAAATCCAAGGATCTTGTTTGTGAAAATGGTGTTTGTACAGATCCTGATAATTCTTGCTTGGTATCTAGGATTAAAAAAATTTGGGATAATGCTGGGTTTGGCAAGAAATTTGTGATTTGTGGGTACAATATAAAGACCAAAATCGTTAAACTTAATTTAAAATACAAGAAATTGATTAAATTGTCTTCTCTAAAATGGAACAGCAGTCTTGATAAGCAATCAAAGTAAGGGAAAGATTTTCTCACAGAATCCTATCAGCTTTTTGACATCTTAAATACTTCACTTAAAATTGCCAGATGAGGTCGTACACCAACATTGAACCTTGTTGCTGGAATAGCAGTACATTCAATGAGCTTTTCAACATTCACTGCTAT